CGCCGCGCGAGCTCGCCCTGCTGCCGCTGCCCAGGCTCGGCCCGCGCACACTCACCCTTTCCAGGTGCAGAGATCCACAATGAGGAACCCGTTGTCTTCATAGGTGTTAATGTGGTGGAAAAGGTTGAAGGCAGAAGTCCGGAATTTGATATTGAGGAGCCTCCCTTTTTTCTTCTCTGCCACATGAATCCAGACCTGAAACACCCGCGGCGCTTTGCTTTAGCGATAGAGCTGTGGAAGGTGAGATGAGCCGCACAGGAGCGCGGCGGCGTTCGGCCGCATACGCTGCTCACCCCCATAGTTTCGTTAGACTCGAAGCAGTCCATGTAGTTGGCTCCCCACAGGCTCCAGGAGGAAAGGAACTTGAGGAGGTTGATTTTCACTGGCGTTTCAACAAACACGATGTAGTTTGGGGTCAGTCCAAAGCTGTTAAAAAATACATCACTGGGGTTAGTCTGAGCAAAACACACACTCATGCACCAACACCATAGTTTATTTTAAGCACCAAATGCAGAATACAGCTTAAGATAACTACAGTATAAACTTCCTGATTCTGGTAACTCCCTCAGCTGTAGTTGCATACTCTGGGTGAGAACAGTTCTGCCTGCCTTTTGTACGGAGCATGCCAGCCCCTAGCAGTGTTGGACGAGTGTATCCAGGCTTCTGTGTATTTGCATTAAAAAAAGGATGTTATTAAATACTTGCTTGTCAAATCAGCTGTTCTGACATATGAACATAGGACACAAAGTAAGAATTTTACTGTAAGCAACAGCTCTCTCTGCTGTTGATAGACCTACATTTTCAGTCTATAGGATGAGTGAAAAATTACCTGTGAACATAAGAGGGCTTAAATCTGTCACTGCAAGGAAACTGCACAACCACCTCCGACTTGTTTATTGGGTCTTCCCTGTCTGGAATACGAAGATATTGGAACAATTATGGAGGAAGTTTCAGCAATACTTACCGTGGCTGCATTACTGACGCTTACCTCACCAAGCTTCTGCCTTCAACAAAAAGGAATTTTATGATGTAGAAGCCATGTAAATAGTTGTTTTAAAGAAAACATTTATGTTAATTAAAAGAAGCTAATGAAATGTAAAAAAAGACCCCCAAAAACCCCAAAAAACCAACTTGATAACAAAATCGTTTGTAGAATAAAATTATTTATACGACATGAGGTTCATTCAGAAGTTGGATTAACTGACCTGCCTGAAGTGGAGGAATCCGTATAATGTTATAGGCAAGTGAAAAATTCTTTCCAAAGCAATTGCCGATGTTATAAACTGTACCATCATTTTCAACGTGGGGATGAGCAGTTGCTCCGTTAACTGAGACGTATTTACAGAGATCCACCTGGAGAGCAAGACGCAGAGAACCCTGAGCTGCCTGGGCAGCAGAGGACGCTGATGGAGCAGACGGAGGCTGGGAATGTCTTCTCTTAGCGCGGAGCGTCATCCAAAGGGAGACGTGAGCAGAGCTGAGCCGTCCGGCAGAGCCAGGCTTTACTGTGCCCTGGGGGCTCCGGAAGGAGAGGCTCAGACTGGACGTCAATAATAAATCAAAGAGCAACTCTGAGAAACTTACTCTGCTTTAAACAGGGTTCCTCGGGATAAATGATGCATGGCTCCAGTCTAGTAGGAGCCCTCTGATTATTTTGGCAGCTTCCTTTTATACTCAGGCTGTAATCCAGTTTGCAAACTGTAACCTACATGCTAACCCCAATGGGAGCATATGGACCATGGACCCCTCATAGCCTCCAGATGAAATATTGCTTCGAGCAGAGTCAGAGCAGCAACAGAAATTCATTTCCAAGCCTGCTCTGAGCTCTGCTCTCAAAGCACTCCCTGCTTGCTTGTTGCCACTGACCCAGCTCTCTGCATTAATCCTGACCACCTGCCTCTCTGGGAGCGGCTGTTACGTGTTTTCCTTTCAGCTCTCCTGCTTGGGGTTTCTAGCAGCTCAGTGCAAACAACTACCTGCTTAATAGTCTCTAAAGTCTCAGGGTTAATTCTGGTTATGAAGTTGGTCTCGGTGCAGGCGTAGTAATCTTCACCAATGGGGTAGACATTAACCAGGGCGTTATCAGTGACCTCCACACCTTTGAAGTATGAAAAAAACCTGAGCAAAGAAAACCAACAGACAGTCAGGGACTTCTTGGAAGCAGGTTACATAGCCCATCTCTGCAGCAAGGCCTCGCAGTGGGCCTGAGGTACCTGGAGAAAATATTCTTGCACGGGTCTGGGTAGGCATAGGTGCCAAACTCCGTTATCACGATGCGCTTCTCGGTCATTGCCCTCACGTAAGCATCAGTCCTCACGAACCTGGAGAAGGCGAGAAACAGAAGGAACCTTATTGGTGGCATTATAGGAGTGGAACAGGCCATGTGGCTAACTCAAAAATATTCTTGTGATGAAACCTGTAAGACCTTCAGAAACCGCAGACCCAAAACCACAGAGCTTTGCCAGGTAAGAGCATCACAGGACGGCAGAATCTGGCCCCAGCACATCGCAGCTTGGCAAATGTGTCGTATTTTGCTTGGACATTTTCCACATACCTTCGGTGATACGTAACGTGGCCCTCCTTGAAGTCGAACTTGTGAAGGAGTGCTTGGCCATCAAACAAGTGGTAGAAAGGCTCTGCACCGACCTCGAACAAGCCAGGCCCGCATCTGAGGAGACTTCCTTTAAGCCAGGTGGGGATCCTACCTGTGGAAAACGCCGTTTCGTATTTATTCAGACCAAGGGAAACCAGGACTAATAGTTTTTCTTGCAACAAAAGAGTAAAACTTAAAACAATTTAGTCCATTTTATTTTCAGCCCATGGTCATTAAACTTCTTTAAACAAAAGATGGTGAATTGTTGGGAGCCCTTTGGATTGTGCTTCCTTCTTCCTCTGCAGACCTCAGAGGTGCCCAGCAGTGCCGCATCTGGAGACGCCCTGTCCCGGCTGGGCTTCCTGTGCCGGGACGGGGCGAGTCCTC